GATGTACTTGTGTTCACTAATTGGGAAAACTGAGACTCTTTCAGTTAAAGAAGAACTGAAAAACTCTTGAGAGAATGAGAAACTGCACACAAAATAGTAGTTTTGAATGAGCTCATTGGCTTATTCAAATGCCAGTAGTTGATCTGCTGGTGCACTGTAATGAAGATGAAAGGCGTCTGCCTACAGATGTCAAAGTGGCACAATACACTATATGAGACAAAAAATTTAATAATATTCTAGTCTATACAGACTGGTCAAAAACTCCAGACTCTCGTTACACTGTGGCGACCCCTGATAAATAAGAGACTAAACCTAAGGAAAACTAATGAATTATTTGGGTTGAACTATCATTACAATGTATGAACACTGTGATTTTTAATAATATATCTTACCATTGATAAATATGATGTGGATAATTCTTAAAGTGAACCACACCCACAGTAAAAAAAAAACATCTATCCATTATTTTACCTTTGTTTTGTTAACCACTTTTAACTCCTAAAACATGCAAAATATTAAAACATAGAATATTGAAACAATATACCAAATGCTACAATAAATATACTGTAATGTATATATACTGTATGTCTTTATAATCTATTTCTAAATTAAAGTAAATTCATTGCACACTTCCACACTGCCCTGCTGTTCTACTGAGATGTGAACAATAAAAGTATGATGCATCTTCCTCATTACTGTAAGCCACGTAATCACATTGGGCTGGGACACTTTAAAGTGTCCTTGAAAATATCAGACCTTTGCTTAGGGATTAAACAATAATGCACAACATCTAAAATAATGACAATTAACATATTAATCCCATGGTACACCTATATTTTTTGCCATTTGGGCAGGATTAAACAAATAAATTTCTATATTACAGCATTAAATAGAATGAATAACAATATTACTGACATTTTTGTGTTCTAAATGATGCAGTTTTCTCCATAACATTAAAACAATTCATCCACATTAAAATAATAATATTAGCACATAACTATCTGTATATTTCTAAGTGTATCTAGGTCAATAGTAGGGTTGGTAAAATCAGCTACGGTTATGGTAATTTAACTAAATTGGGTAAATCACAGCAATATAAACAGTAGTCAACATTTGAAGTGAACCAAATAAGTTTTTCAAAATTATTAAAACAAGAAATGGTGTTGTTCAATAGTTTTAGGACAAATTTGATAAAGGTGATGGTCCACTCCTAATGTAGACTATACAGTACTGTGCAAAAGTCCCAAGCACTGTACTAGCTTTGTTGACCTAAGACTTTTGCACAATATTTAACAGGGTTCAACGCTTTTTTCATTGTGTTGTACCCATGTAAATATCTGTTTCCACAACGTTAGAAGCAGATGTTTTCTTTTAGCCTCACAATTTGATGTTGCTGTCATGTTGCCATCTCTTCACTGTACTGGTTTTTACCAGGTTGTGGAAAGAAATAACATGCTCACAACATCCAATCAGATAAAATGGAACCAAAAAGCAATATGCTATTTACGACTTCATAGAAAAGGTAGCATTCAAAGACTTAAAAGCACAAATTGTTTCTCGATTCTAAGACTGTATTTGCACGCAATTGACAAGAAAACAAGAAATAAAAATTTTTGACAAGAAATAAAAATTTTGTGACAAGGCAGCACTGGCCTGATCGGGCCAGTAATGCCTTTTTCAGACTGCGTGATTTTAGCCCCGATTTTGGCTCGCCGACAGGTTTTGAGAAAATTGCCGACAAATGCCTGAAATCACAGGCAAATCGCTGCTTGTGCACGTGAGTGACAATCACACAGTATGAACGATCAAAGACGCGATCTAAGAGAATCGCAGATGAGTCGCCGATGCCTGTGAGATATTTGTCATGCTAAATATCTGGAGCTGTCGGCGATTCAAATCATGCCGTGTGAATTGAGTTTTGACTGAAAATAACATCAGCGATCGCCTACAGCCAATGAGAGAGCAGCTTTCACTTGTGTGTGCGTGTGTGTATACCTGCTGCAGGCCAGCGGGAGGCTGGGGGAGAAGTTAAAAGAGCTCTTTTTCGGTTTATTTGGACCCACGAAATGGAGGAAAAACTAGTGGAGGTTTGACAGGACTCAGGAGCAACCGTGTCTGTTTGACATTTCATACAGAAAGAAATTAGTTTATTATCAACTTAAGTTGAGGAGAAATGGCTAATTCCCTTTAAACCCAGGTGAGCAAACATGTACATGTTCTACCCCATTAAAGGCTTCTTTCTCATTATGTAGTTAATAACAAAAGATATACTACATGTTTTTGGCTGTGAGACATAGTTTGGACGAAGTTGTCGGCGATTCTCCCATTAGTAAAGTCATGCAATGTGAATGTCCATGTCGCCGAACCATCTTGCAGTGTAAACAAAGCAGCGATGAAACGCTAGCCCAGATAGTCATGCAGTGTGAAAACATCTGTGACACGACTAGTTTGAAAATCATGCAGTCTGAACTCGGCATAACGATGCTCTCTACTGTCCCGAACTCACGTTGGCCCCGGGTCATTGGGCAGTCCATACCGTTGAGCCCTGTATAATCAATCAATTTTAATCAATCAATATAAAAAACAAACAGAACACATAGGAAATATGTACAAAAAAACAACAGCAGCACATTTCCTCTTTAAGAAAAAGTCTATGTTTAATGTCTCTTTCCTTGGTACCACGCACAACTAAACTGTTTTGTTCTTATCGTCCTTTCATTTTCTGAAATAATGTGTATTATCAGGCTTCTTTTAGCACTTCCCCGAGTGCTTCTTTAGGTTTAGGTTGTCGTATCTTTCTTTTTCTGTCCAGGTGATCTCAAACAGCATCTATAATATTCAGGTCTGGACTCTGTGGAGGACATTACATGACTGTCTGTGTTTCAGCAGCTGTTTTCATTCACCAGATAGGATTTCACTGCAATTAGAAGATCATTATCGTGCGGAAAATGACAACTATTATCACTGAAGTCCTTTCTAGAAGAAATGGCTTAATGGATTAAAAACATTAACCTGAAAATCTGTACTTTTCAACATTCACACTTCCATTAATTCAGACAATATTGCTAACAACACTGGTAGAAATGCAGCTCAAATCATTATGCCACGTTGACAAATTCATTGGTTTTTGTTCATTTACAAAACTCTTATTGGGAAAACTCCACTATATTTACAGTCACTTCTTAAGACTCAGAAAACATCTTGAAATCTGTGATCTAGTAGTTTTATTAACCTTTGTATACCCGAAGTTCGCACTTCATTCGGTCGCTACTCTTTTCAGTTTTCTGCTGCTGATGGAATCATCTGCAGCAGACTTTAAAGCTCAACACTTTCATTCCACTGTCATCCTTTAAAAATTCAATACAGTTACCAGTACACAATTACTGTGCTGGTTTTTACTTTTACCTTGGTTTTATATGTTATTATCTGCATTTGTGAAATTGTTATTGTATTGTGTTCCTGCTTCTTTATATCTGCGTTTTATGCTGCTTCTTGGCCAGGTCATCATTGTAAAAGAGACCTGGTTCTCAATTGACTTACCTGGTTAAAATAAGGTTATTATAAACCAGAACATACAGCCTCTCTCCAACATTGTCTTTCATTTGTCTTAAACAGTTAAACCTAAATAATGCATACTCTAATCTAACCTAACTTATATCCTAACATACATCAACTGAAAGATAATTTATTCTTTCTGTATGAATCTCAATTAATAAAAAATAATATTAATTTACACTTATGACTGGTTTTGTGGTAAAAGGGTCACATATCCATTATACCATCAGTAAAACATAAGATTTAAAGTTGGCCTAAAACTTTTGCACAGTGCTGTATATTAAATTATGTTTACCAATTGTTGTTATTTTGAAACATACTTTCTTATTCTCATTATTAATAGTGTTTTCAGGTAACAGAGTCAGTAACACTAGAACTATACAGGAAGGAAACTTTTAATGAGGATCTTTACAAAATTGCTGGTTTAACCCACCCCCCAAAGAGCTCTACCTCCAACCATCTGTTACAATAGGTCGGGGGAGTTTGAGGCCAGATCTGTCTGTTTCTATGGTAATGCGCCACCCTTTTACTTAAAGAGGCTGGGGGTTTCAAATCCTGTATTTCTCACCTCGTAGCCGACAAGTAGTTGTCAAACTACACTATCCACTCTTTAACTTTATTGAAATAGGAGATTCACCACCACCACCCCCACGGGTCATCTCTAACACAAGGGTGAAACAGCCCAACCCCCATCCACTGGTTTGTACCCCAACCCCCAAATGGCTAAGCATTCATGTTGAAAATCCCCGCCAGACAGACAACATATCATTTGCCTGGCCAACGGTCTTCGTTTTAGAGCTTAATGAGTATGTTGACACTCTTTTGTTATGTTAAAGGTATGTTTAACTTCAAGTTAAGTTATTTACTCACCTTATTTACAATATATATTTTTTTTAATTGGCAAAAACAAAACAGGGCAGCTCAATGACCACAACTCGACTTCTCCAAAGAGAGAAATACACTATAAAGCAACATCAAATAAATAAATATCACTCTCACAGTTGACTAAATCGTCCTCCTGTTGAATTTACATTCCTATTTTAAAATATTTCCCAAGTTCTGTTTAATGGAGAGAAAATTTACATTTTTAAACAACAGTTTTATTAACTTATTTCTAATAACCTTATTTTTTTCTTTTCCATGATTACAGTATATTATATTTGACTTTGTTATTTTGCAAGATACTATTATTGAGCTTAAAGTGCAATTTAACGGCTTAAAGGCTTAACTAGGCAGGTAAGGATAATTAGGCCTTAAGTCATAGGATAACAGTGGTTTAGTCTATAGCCAATCTAAAAAATACATACATTTCTTGTAATAGGGTGGCACGGTGGCTCAGTGGTTAGCACTGTCACCTCACAGCAAGAAGCTCACTGGTTCGAGACCCGGCTGGGTCAGTTGGCATTTCTGTGTGGAGATTGAATGTTCTTCCTGTGTTCGCGTGGGTTACCTCAACACAATCTCATTCTGAAAAGTAGCCCTATATACATTTCTGGAATTATGTAGGCAGAAGTAGTTTTGGCTGCATTTAATATTTAAAATAAACGCTATGGGGTGGCATGACACTGTTTAGCACTTACCAGCTTACCTCCATGTGGACGGTATTTTTTCCATTAGCTCAGCATGTATGTCAGTGGACCTGAAATGCAGAGAGAAGTTGACCTCTCAAGGTTTAAGTAAGGCAAAGAACAGTTTTAGAGACTAAAAGACTAAAGAGTAAATAAAAAAATTAAATAAGTAAATAACAGGGTAAAAATATGGTAAAATTAGAAAACGAGCTACAAATCAGGCAAGGGCTTTTTTCTGGATTGCAATTTTTGGTAGGGTTTAGGGAAGTGGGTGATCAGGTCAATCTGTGCTTTTGAAAACACTATTGGTTGGGTTTAAGGAAGAAGGAGGTTGGTCATACAGTCAGTCAGTCATACAGTTAGTCAGTCGACAGCGGTCTCTGATGGATTTATGCAAGCGCGAATGGCACTCGCGAGAGAAATTTTAAATGTCAAAAAGCGCACACAGCGGCCCCTGGTGGATTCGTGAAAACAAAAACTGAAATATATATATATATAAATAAAATTAATAAATAAATAAATATATATATATATATATAAAATTAATAAATAAATAAATAAATATATATATATATATATATATATATATATATATATATATATATATATATATATATATATATATATTTTTTTTTTTTTTTTTTTTTTTTTTTAAAAACCGCTTTTATTTCAGCCAAACCCAAAAATACATTAAGCCATAATCCAGGCAAAATTTACTGTAGTAATAACTGTAAACATTTCCTTGCTCTATTAAACATCACTTAGGAAAATAGTTTTTGAAAAGGAATACACATTTCGCAGGAGGGCTAATAATTTTGCCTTCAGCTGTATTTTCAAGTACTTTTAAATAAACACAATAAATATTCAGTTTGGCATTCAGTGTAAACTACCTGTTTAGTTACACCTCTCTGTATCACAATCTAAACCACTGCCAACCTTGTGTGTGTACTTAAAAGCTGAATGTGAAGAGAAGATTATCAGCGAACAAAAACTTACATTTTGGCTTGTTCTTCTCACAAACGGTTCTTCAAAATATCTTCGTGTACCCCTGGGGAAATAAATAAATAAAGCTAAATAAAAGTCCACAATAGGCAAGGCAAGTTTATCTATATTGCACATTTCATACACATCGGCAATTCAAAGTGCTTTACATAAACAAGAATAAAAGAAACAAGTATAAATAATAATAATAATTATTATTATTATTATTATTATTAAAAAAAACATAAAAACAGATAAAATGTGATATAAAAGAATGAAAAAGAAAAGAAAAACATAAAAGTGTGATCTGTCGGACGTAGCACAGTGCTCATTCAGTAAAGGCACAGCTAAACAAATGAGTTTTCAGTCTTGATCAATCTGATCAATTCTGGAAGCTGATTCCAGCAGCGAGGGCCATAGTTGCTGAAAGTGGACTCACCCTGCTTTGACTGAACTCTTGGAATTTCTAGTTTATATGATCCTAAAGATCTGAGCGATCTGTTAGGTTTGTATTCAGTGAGCATATCTGTAAAAAGTCAGAAAGACAAGTTGAGATGTCTGATTTTGGTGCCAGTCTCAAATAAAATTTACATGCATTTACAAACATAAAGATAAGTGTATAATGTTTGGAAATATTAGGGAAAACCATGTACGATCGTCATCCAGTGTAACAAACATTTTGTAAAACTGTAACACAGCATACTTAATCTGACATGTAGTCAATAACATGTTTACAGTAAATAATTGATTTGATGTCAAGGACAGTGGAAAAGTATAAAGATTTAAAATTAAAATAATTTACTATTTTGAGTTTGCTGTAAGTCTTTAAATATGTCATAGTATATGATGAATTTTAGTTTTTTCTTCTTCTTTATAATCTATTATTACACAGAATCATATTGTTTGCCCACGTCTTTTGTAAACCATCCCAGCAGGCACAGGACATAAACATGAGGTCAGATTGATTGTACCCCAACGTTAGTGGGATATTGCGTTTTGCTTGGAAATTAAAATTTGGTTGACATCAAAACCCATCATCAGGCAGACGTCAATGTCCAACGTCTGACAGATGTTGCATTTTGGTTGCTTCCCAAAGCAACCTAAAAACAACAAAATATCTATGCCTAAGGATGTTACAGCTTGACATTATGTGGACGTTAACAATATGACGTCTATCAGACATTAGATTTTGGTAACCATGACGAATAAATATCAGGATTTGACATCAATATGATATTGGTTAGATGTTGGCTTTTGGTCACTTTTCAACACAACCTAAAATCAGTAAAATATCGACATCATTTCATGTCGTTATTGGACGTCAATATAACAGTTATATGGGGTGTTCAAGCTCTGTCCTGGAGAACTGGTGTCCTGCATATTTTAGTTCTTACACCAATTAAACACACATGAACCAGCTGTCCAAGCTCTTTCTAGGTATTCTAGAAACTTCCAGGCATTTGTGTTGAAGAAAGTTGAAGCTAAACTATGCAGGACACTGGCCCTCCAGGACCGAGTTTGGACACCCCTGCGTTAAACACTGGAGACCTGAATCTAACCAATGTTAAAGTTGTTAAATGTCTCATGACATTGTGTGTCTACTGGTATGGTAAAATGTAATGATAGTCAGTGTTAGTTGTATTTTATTTAAGCATTAATAAGTAAAAAAAAATTCTTTATTTAAAGCTTTATTTACCTTTATTGTTCTGAAGTAAAAAAAAAAAAAGACTTGGTATTTGATCCACATTCAGGTTTATTTACAGTATTGGCAACATCAAAGTCAGCAGTACTATTAAACACTATTAAAAAAACATATTAATTAATTTAATTAATTTAAATAAAAAAGAAAAATCATGAATGAATTTTCTAAATTACAAACTGCCAAAACCTAAAAATTCAAGTGATAAGTCTGAGAGAACTGTATATGATTTTATGTTACAGTAAAGGAAGCAGCAGTGAGTTAAGCGCAAATTAACCTCAAACAGGTGGTAAACATTACAGCAGTTGGCACCTGATTCCACTTCCCATGCAGAACTGTAAATTAAGCTCTAACAACTGTGTGTATGTTTATGGTATTAGTTAATTAACTAACACTGAATGAATGCAACTTAAGGAGTTAGAGGCCATTTGTGTTTATTAAACAATAACCCCTCTCTGGAAAGACTAGCAGTGGAGGTTCACTTCAGGGTGCAAGTGATTAGATCTGCACATGTTTTGAATATGGAGGTCTGTTTTCTTGTCAAAAGCGTTGTGGGTAGCAGTAAAAATACCATGAAACAAACCACATCAGACAGTTGCATTTATCTGAATGGCAGGCTATCGGATTATACAGCCCAGCACTATAAGAGATTTATTCTAAATAGATTTTTAAAATTGCTCTGCCAAAAATAAAAAGTATTATATACTTCCGGAGCAAATAATCCTCTGTGGACTTACTGCTGTTCTATAGTTAACATATGCATAGTGTAGGGAACATTATGACAAAGGCTCAATAAAAGGCTTGGGATTTAGTTTAGGAGTAAATTATTTCTTGAATGTTGTAGTTTGTTATGGAAAATTTGCTCTGTCTTATCATTCTGTGGTAATAGCTTTATAAATAGATTTGTACTGATATTAAATAATGCATTAAATAAATACAAAAAAATAGATATTCAGTAATGGCATCAGCTTTTGCCAAATTGCAAAAATGCTGGGTTCCACATAATTCCTTCATGTTCTCCCAACAAAAAAAATTGATTAAGTTAACTTAATAATTTGTACAAATTTAAATGGGTTCAACATAAAATAAAATTCTCCCAAGAATTGTGTTAAATCAGCTCATCTTAAATAAGTAGTTTGAACAAACAGCTAAAAAAACTATTTTTAATTACACTTAGTGACTTTTTGCTCAACATAAATACCTAAAACTAATCCTCAAACACACATTTTTTTCACACTGTAAAACCCAACAGTCAACTTTATCAAATTAAATGAGTGTAGTTAACTCCAAACTTACTGAAAGTTAATTCTACTCATTTGAAAAGAGTTGACCTCAGTGTTGAAGGTAATGAGTTAATTAAATATCTCATTACTTCAGCTTTAATGAAGTAAGTTCACAGTACTCATATAGATTAGTTTTTTTTTACTCAAATGGTTTGTAGTAATCGGTTTCCTCAAACGGTTTGAGTTGCCTTAACTCATTGGGATTACAGTACTCAATTGGTTTGAGTTCTCTTCATTCATTTTGTTTTACTTTGCTCAATTTGCTTCGATTACTCAAATGGATTAAGTTTACAGTACTCGTTTGGATTAGTTTTGAACTTGAATAGTTTGTTGCAATCGGTTTCTTCAAATGGTTTGGTACATTAACTTTTGGGGTTTTACAGTGCATAAAAACAATTTGGTACTTCACAGAGCACAAAAATTTACATTTGATGAATGACTGCAAGTGATTTTTAGAATAAAATTGGAAAGCGTGTTACATTTATTTTAAAACCACTGTAAGAAAACAACCAGTTGGCTTTACTTAATAAAAAATAAGTAAATCCATTGCCTAAAATTATTAAAAAGATGAGCTATGAGCATAATTCTAAAAATTAAGTTAAACCAACCTAACAGTTCCAAGTTTCAATGGGTTTATCCATTTTTTTAAGTAAAATCTTTGGTCGCTTTTAATCCCTTTTTACAGACACTATTATTTGAAAATGCCACTCCACTTTGGTTTTTAAGAACACTAAAAATCTCTTTAATATATACACCACACACACACACACTAAACAACTTTAAATAAGCCTGTTAACGCATATTATTCCCTTCCTATAAGACTTCATGTAGTGAACCTCCCATACAACACTGAAAAATAAAGGGTTCCACACAACTCATTCATGTTCTCCCAACATAAATCAATTAAGTTAACTTAGTAATTTTTACAAATTTATATAGATTTAAGATAAAATAATTAGGTTGTTCTCCAAAAAACTTATGAATTGTGTGAATTCAGCTCATTTTATACAAGTAGTTTGAACAAACAGCAAAAAACATTTTTTAATATACTTGAAGTGACTTTTTGCTCAACATAATTATGGTATAAGTCAATCTGTTGCCTTAAAATTATTAATCAAATTAACTATGAGCATAATTGTAAAAAAACAAGTCAACTTAACAATTCAGAGTTACAATGGTTTTATTCACTTTTTAAAGTAAAGTCAACTTGTCGCGTTTAATCCTTTTTACAGACATTATTGTTTGAAAATGCCACTTCCCTTTGGTTTTTAGGAACACACACACACACACACACACACACACACACACACACACACACACAAAACAACAAGGATTATCTAATGCTTTCCGTATTAAGTATTTAAATAAGCTTGTCTACGCATATTATTCCTTTCATTTCCACATAAGGCTTTATGTAGTGAACCTCCCATCCAACACTGTAAAAAATGGAGGGTTCAACATAATTCCTTCATGTTTTCCCAACACAAATCGCTTAACTTAATAATTTTTACAAATTTAAATGGATTCCACATAAACTACTTAGGTTGTCCTGAAAAAAACTTATGAATTGTGTGAATTCAGCTCATTTTAAATAAGTAGTTTGAATAAACAAAAACAAATATTTTTGCGTTTACTTGAAGTGACTTTTTGCTCAGCATATTTACATAAAACAAATCCTCAAACATGAATTTATCGTAAACACAATTTGGAACTTCCAAACCTAAAGCTTCACAAAACACAAGGGCTTTGCATTTGATGAATGGCTGCAAGTAATTTGTAGAATTAAATATGAAATGTTCAATTTATTTTAAACACACTGTAAAAAAACTATTAGTTGACTTTTTACATTTAAAAAGTCAATCCACTGCCCTAAAATTATTAAGTAAATGAACTATGAGCATAATTCTGCAACAAATTAAGTCAACTTATCAGTACCAAGTTTCAATGAGTTTATTTACTTTTCTAAGTCAACTTGTCGCTTTTAATCCCTTTTTACAGACATTACCGTTTGAAAATGCCACTCCCCTTTGGATTTTAAGAACACTAATGGAAAAGCTCTATATACACCACACACACCAACAAGGA